AACTGTAGTGATGAAACACACAGGTCACTTTTCAGTCCTCAAATTCTTCACTCTGCAGGGTTTTTTTTTTTGTCTCTCTCTCTCTTTAAAGACACTGTACTGATATTTTAGGACCTATCCTCTGGCCGCTTCTGAAGTGTCTCTTTTCCAACTTCAGTTTGTCCTTCTGCTTTGTAAACATGAGCCCAACTTCCCAGCGGTTCCATCTGCATCTCTGAGTTTAATTACAACCTCTCCATGCGAGACTGTCCCTGCATTTCTTGCTAAGCCCCTCTTTATGACTCAGTAGCGGTAACTTCCAACCCACCTCCACCACCACCACAATCATCATAGTCACAAAGCTGTCACTGTGCACCTAATGCTGTGTGAGGCATGAACTTTGTCTTTGATCTTCGCATGAATCATTTGCAAATCTAAAATCCTTATGTATTGATTAGGAGACAGACATCTAGAGGTTAACTTGAAAAGTGACTTTCGATTCTTGACATGAATCTAAAGTCATGTCAAGAATCTCCAAGAGTTTTCAGTTACACGAGACATCAATCTCTTCACATTCCAGGTACTTCAAATGACATCCGTTTTCTTCCCTCTTAGACCAGTTTCTGTAACTGTTCTTCCGTGTGGAAAGTAAATAAAAACTAAGTTTTCAGTTTGATTTCCGTATTTCTGTCCTGATGTAAAATTTGGCATCATCTTGATTCCTCTTCTGCTTGTTCCTTACTGATGTTTTCCAAAACGTCTCCCCAAATCATTTTCTCTTCACATGTATCCCAGAAAGGTATGAACTTTTGGATCAGATGACATGGCTTTGAGATTGGCTGCTCAACTTATTGGTGTATGAACTTGAAGAAGCTGTGTTTTTCCTCCAAGTTTCAGTTTTCTCATCTGTCACTTAGGGAGGACCATGACAACCTCAGGGCCCCTGGGCTTGTAGGGAGGATTAATGAAACTGAACGAGTGAAATGGCGAGGGTCAGCCCCACATGCTGGACGCCCGTGGTCCCGGCTCCCTTCCCTGCTCTGTGATGTCGGGCAGGGCTGCTGCCAGGAGGAAGGTGCACCTGCCCTGTGCCCTGCTCTTCTCCCTACTGTAAACTTGCTCCCTGTCCCTCTACAGCCCACAGACATCTGTGTCTTTGCATTGTCACCAGCATTCCCGTCCTGCAGTCACCCTCCCCAGTTCCCCACTGAGGGCTGGTGCCCCCACCTGTCCTCACTGCTCTCCACCTTGGTGCCTTTCTGCCTCCCTACCCAGGCTCATGATCTTTGTCCCCGACTTGCCTTCCTCCCCCTGCCTACCTGGTCAGATCTGAATCACCTTCCTGGTTGAGTCCCAGCCCTTCACTAAGAGCCTAAAGTCCAGGAGGCTGGAGCTGAAGGGGCTCCTGTGTGCTCCCTCCTGTGAACTGGACCCTCCCAGTGGCATTTCTTCACGAATCCATCACACACAGGCTTTCTGTGCATCACATGTTGCTTGTATTGTCATGTATTTAGGCCTCAACTTTCCAACTATATGAATTCCTGAAAGGTCGGAAGTAAATGGCACATTTTTAACTATTTCTGTACCTTGTGTGCTGTACACAGTAATTATCTGAACAAATGATTTGTATCTGAAAAATAATTTATAACAGGTGTTCTCCTGGCTATTTGGGAGAGTAATTTTCAGGCCAGCTACTTTATCGGATAGAATAACACAGAGTGTCTCTCCAGGCCCGAATGTATTAGCATATGCAGTGAGCATTGAAGGATACACCATTTGACGTCTTTGTAAACTTCAAAATTCAAGGTATCAGCACAGCTTGTACTTCCTCCTATAAAATGTGTTTTTGTCCCCACTAGAGAATTTGCTGACATAATTTGTTAAGTAGCCTTTTTTTACTTTATTGTTGAGAAAAAGATATAGATCCAAACCACATAACACAGATCCAAGCACTGCTGGGCTCGGTGGTCTATGTTTTTGCAATGTGTGAGCCTGTGGCTGCCTGCCCACTGTCACTGTTGTAGATTTCTTCTTCCTGTCCCTCCACTCCCAGCACCTGCGCTCACTCTAGGCTTTCCTGGGGAGGGTTTTTAAAAACAAACAAATGAGGCTTTTATTTTAATTTGTTTTGTGTTTTTAAAAACATGTTCATTACTTCAGAAGTTTTGTGCACACAATGAGAGTAGAAAGCTGCCCTGCTTATCTATTGCTGCTTAGCCACCACCTTGAGTCATGGTGGCTTTAACAGTGATTTATTTACAATGTCTCGTGGCTCTGGGGGTCAACTGGGCTCGGCTGAGTGCTTCTCAGTTGGAGCCCCCACTGTAGGTACCATCAGAGAATGGGTGGGAACCATGTCATCCGAAGGCTCGATTGGGCTGGGGGGCTCCCCCGTGTGGCTGGCACGTGGGACACTGCTGTTGCCTGGTATCTCAGCAAGAATTCCCAACCAGTTCACCACACTGACTTCCTCAAAGTCTGTACAGAGTGTTACTTTAGGGGTTAACAAAGCATTTACTGTCTTTTCAACTTTGCTGATAATTTCAAAAGATGACTGACACCCAGATGACCAATGTCCACAATGTGGTGTGCCATGGCCTCCAGTGTATGTGCCGTGGCCTCCAGTGTGTGTGCTGTGGCCTCCAGTGTGTGCCGTGGCCTCCAGTGTGTGTGCCGTGGCCTCCAGTGTGTGTGCTGTGGCCTCCAGTCTGGGCTCCAGTGTGTGTGTGCCGTGGCTCTGCGTGTGTGCTGTGGCCTCCAGGTGGTGTCGCCCTCCAGTGTGTGTGTGTGCTGTGGCCAATTAGTGTGTGTGCCACGGCCTCCAGTGTGTGTGCCGTGGCCTCCAGTGTGTGTGCTGTGGCCTCCAGTATGTGTGCCGTGGCCTCCAGTGTGTGCAGGGCCTGTTTGTGAATTAAAGGCAATCACAAGGAGAAACGGTCATGGTGACCCATTCTAAACCGTACACAGCGTCCTCTGTAGGGTTGTAGCCAGAGGCAGATGACTTTCCTAGAAATGCCTCAATGTGAGTTTTAAAGCAACTCCTTATGACTATTATCTGAATTTACCAAACTGTCCCTGGCTTTTGTTCGGAATGAACTTTTGATGTTACTGTGGAATTTTCTGCCTGGAAAATTATTGTTACGAAACATGTGACTGTAAACCACATTTCTGGTCTTTCATGTGCCTCACAGTGTCTATGCAAATGAACGGTGTGATTTTAAACTTGAGGAAGGCTCAATAAGAGTGAGATCTAAGAGGATCTTTAATATGGGGGCATTTTTAGAGAGAGAAAAACCAAATGGGTCCCAGTTTTCTCAGGGTGACATATAATTTGCATTTGACTTAGAACTACAGAAGGAATATGGGGTAAAAGACATGAGAAGCATTGCAGAGGTCAGTGCCATGTGGTGCATCCGCCTCAGCTCTCAAAGAAAAGGCAACCGGTCCAGGCTGGGAGCCAGTCAGCAGCAGGGTCCCAGTCTCCATCCACTGCCGTCCCTTCTGGGGCAGGGACGGTGTCGCAGGGAGGAGGCCGCTCCTGGAGACCTCCAGATCCCTGCCTCTGTGCAGTCTAACTGAAGGGGCCCCCACAGTGGCAGTGAATCTCTTTGCTCTGCAAGGAAGGGGGTGTCATTGGGCCTCCTGGGTCCCTCACCCTCTGCGTGGCCACACAACGCAGTTTTGTTCAACACGTTACATTTCTGGTTACTTAATGTTCATTTTTGGTCCCCTGCAGAGTCCAGTCTGTTTTTCGTTTTCTTTCTTTTCTTTCCAGGCAGGCATTGCCAGGGCTAATCATCTATAAAAGGGCTTACTTTCTTACCTTCACACTAAGCAAGACCATCCAAGGGCAGTGTTAGAGGGCACCTGAGAACGCAGGAGGGGTGTGTTCCCCGGCAGCCTGTTTCTTTCTCCTATGGGCAGCCCTTCTACAGGAAGCAGAAGCCTCAGGGGAGATGTCCACAACGGAAGTGAGGAGAAGGGGATGGAGCTGAGGTAGCAGGGGAGGGGTTGGAAGATCAGAGGGGAGGGTCTTGCTTTGTTCCCCATCCAATAATAAGCAGGTTTCAGGTTGGGGTGAACTACTGGGGAGCAGCGCCCCGGGGCTCCTCTCAGATAGAGGAGGGACAGGTCACCCAGGGTGAAGGAAGTTGTGAGCTCTGTTAGAGGAAAACAGCCAGGACTTAGTCAGGAGAGGCTTTGTTTGGAAGGATTGTTGTAAGGCAGGGAAAGGAATGATGGAAACAAAAGGACCCCACGACCATAGGTCTGCAAGTGCTTCAAATAGAAAAGGCCCTTCTTTTATCCAGTAAGGAGAAGCCACTGGGGCCAGCAGGGTCTTTGGTGGAGACCCTGTACAAGCCCAGGAAAATGGCCAGTGGGGATGAGCAGAACACAGGTCCTGCTGTGTCCAGCTGGCTCCCCAGAGAGATGACAAGGGGTGCACTCCAGCTTCTCAGGCTCGCTCAGGCTTGGGGATGTGGAGCTCGGGGCTCTGCAGGAAGGAGAGACCCAGATAAGGTGTGGTTAAGACAGAGCAGATCTGGGCAGCAGTCAGTGGGGCCTCGTGGGCAGCCTGGGGTGGGGAGGCACAGTGCACTGGGAGGTGGAGAAAGTGTGAGTCCATCAGCCTGGCTGCGAATTGATCATGAACCTCTAGTCTGTAAAACTTTTGTTATTTCCTGAGATGTGGTTCACAACAACCCAGGTGTGAATAACCTTATGATTCTAGGGTTGTTTTCTATTGTTTTAATCACTTGCATCTAAAAATAAATTTCTGAGTGACTTGTCATCAGCTGTTTTTCTTGATATGTCTAATGATGGGGCAGTGACCCCCACTGTCACCCAGAGATTATGTCTCTGTGCCACATGAAGATTAGGTGTCCCGCTTTTGATTGAGGGGCTGGTCTGTTGGTCTCAAAGTATCCGGTAATAATAGCTAATATGCATGGAGAACCACCTCTCCTCCAGGCGCTGTTCCTGGGCTTCCGTGGATGGGCCTGGCTTTTTCTCGGAACCTTCTGAGGTTAGAGCTGTCATGGTCTTTCTTCTAAAAGAGGAAACCTAGGCTTGCTGGGGCTCAGTGGCCCTTCTGTGGCTGCACAGCTTTCGGGGTGGAGCCAGGACTGACTGACTCCAAACAAAAGTGCTCCCGACCCAGCTCTTTAACTCACACGGCCTCTTCCAAACATTCCTGAATCTTCCCAGTCGGCTTGCAGACACTCCTTGCTCCCAGGAGATAATCGGGTAAAGGAGTATGGAAGTTTGGGTACAAACTCATTGCTGCAAATTGAAAACCACACAAAGGCTGTCTTCCTCTGGGGAGCTACGATGCCTCCCTCTTTCTCACCACTTTACCATTGGTTGGACTTTGATTTCAGGGATCCTACGATTGCTCAATACCCTACAGGATATACATGGTTAACCATTTGCATTTGGGCAAATAGGCGTTACTTTTCAATAGGAAGTGGCGATCCAGAACTTGCGTTTGGGCAATTCTAGTAGCTCACAGCTTTTTTCTTAATGACCGCTAGAAGCTGCATCTTGTTGACAGATGGTCATCACATTGGGGACCTGGAGTCATCAGATTGTGGGGCTCGGAGTGAGGCTGAAGGGAGTGGATCAGAGTACTGCCTGAGGTGAGCATGCCAAGGCCCCTGAAACTTTTCTTTCAAAAATGTAACTTCTTTGAGTCCCCTAGTCTGACAGGAATGGGACTGTTTTCCCCATTAATCTTCCAGAATGCTGGCATATGGACTGTGTTTATGCTTAACCACGCAGACCTCCTTTCCTGAAAGCATTGACTTTACGGTTTTAGGAAGCCCACTTTTCCTCTAAGTGGATAGCGAGGGATTTCATACTCGCTCCCTGCACTGGAGCTTGGGTGACGGTCTGGGCAGTTGCTCCTCATACAGGAGATATCCTCAGGGCATCAGTCTGGAGAGGAATGTGATTCTTGATCAAATATACTGAAAGATTTTGGAAAATAAAAAAATTAAGCTAAGAAATATTTTGGAAGCAGTAAGTCATTTATGCAATGAAGGCTGATGAGTAGGCATCCAAGGCAGCCTAAGATCGAGCAAGAAGGAGTTTGTGAGGGGGGTTAAGAGAAACTGACAAGGTGGAAATTTCAACAAGTCTCAGTTACAAAGCTCTCATGAGGGCTGCCAATGCCACTGTGATTATGAAGCCAGTATCTTATGACCAGAAAATAATACACAGTGATATTAAAAGGAGCCAGGCTAGGTGCAGTGGCTCACACCTGTAATCCCAACACTTTGGGAGGCCGAGGCCGGTGGATCACCTGAGGTCAGGAGTTCGAGACCAGCCTGGCCAATATGGTGAAACCCCGTCTCTACTAAAAATACAAAAATTAGCTAGGCATTGTGGCATGTGCCCGTAATCCCAGCTACTAGGGAGGCTGAGGCAGGAGAATCACTGGAACTTGGGAGGCAGAGGTTGCAGTGAGCCGAGATCACACCACTGCACTCTAGCCGGAGATCAGCCCCAAAGTCCACTTAGCAGCAAGACATAGATATTATAGAGATCAGCGTTACAAAGAAAAACAAAAATGCAAGGCTGTAACTAAAGCTATCCTTTAAATGGTTAAAGATGTAATTTCTGCAAATAAAACAGAAAACATAAAAGCAAACTTCCAAAGAAATAAAAGGAACTGAAAAAAAAAAAAAACAAAAAAACCCACAGAAGCTTAATAAACAAATCACCGGGGGAAAACAAAAAAAAAAATCAAACCTCCTGGTCTTCTCCTTAGCCTCCCTCATTCAAAAGCAGAAGGAAGTCAGTCTAGAGTTTCAGCTCCACTGATGCTTATCTAAAAAAGCGTAAAATGTGGTGTGCCCGTGATTCAAATAAACTTAGAGAACATCCATGTATTGAACACCTACCATTATAGTTTGTGAAACTCTGATATCAATAAGATGTTTTAAAATAAAAACATTATTTAAGATCTTGTGGGAATTCTGTGACATTTCACTAAGACCTGCTGGTGGCATAGTGAATTAGAACAGCGAGTAAGAGACAATAATGGAAGTCTCACCAGTACTCAGTCCTAGATGAGCTACAGGCTCGCTATCTGTAAAATGGGTACGATGTCTACCTTAAAGGGTTTTGTGAGGTTAAAAGCGATAAGCAGCTGTAAACCAGTGATTTTAATGCCCAGCAGGTAACTAGAACTTAATTTATAGCATATGCACACACACACACAAACACACACATACACATATGTGTGCATATATACATACATACACGTCCATATGTACACACAGAGTTATACACATACTGCACACACATGCATGTATACACACATGTATGTATACATGCAGGCACCAATATACATCCATGCACACACATGCATACACACACATACACCTGTATACACACATGTGCACTCCTATATACACACATGCCTATATGCATACATGATGTAAACACATGTATATATGCAGGCATATGCACACTGCACAAATGCACACATGCATATATACATACACACATACACACCCACATACGAACACATACACACATACTCTTATTTAGTTCTTGCTCCTTGTTTTGCAGGGCCAGTACTCTTTATGAAAGTAAGCACAAATTTAAAACTGCCTGACAACTTAATTTTAACACATTGTTAAGCTAGTTATTAAATGTTTTTAAATTATAAGTTAACACAGTTTTTATTACCAGTAATATTTTGATAACTATTACTAACGTTTTCCCCATATTGAATTTTCTTGGGCAGAGTCTGTCGTTGGCCAAAGGGATAAACAATGGCAGTCGGTCTGTTGCTTGGTTCCCCCAACTCCTGCTCCTCTTGAGGAGCGCCCCCCCACAGCTCTCACTGGCCTTCTCTCTTTGCTACCACCACAGAGCCAGCCCCAGTACTGGTCTGCCTGAGAGTGTGTGCCGTGGCTACCCACCTCTTCTGGGGCCATTTGCTTGTGATTAGAGTTCTCCCAATGCCCTCAAAGTCCAAAAACATAAAAGGTAGAGGCACGGTGGAAGGCCGGAGGGAGATGAGTGTGGCTGTGTTTGGAGAATTGAACACAGCCTTAAATCCTACAGTGGGGGCAGCCCCTCCCTCTTTCCACTGGTTCTGCTTTTTAGCAGAACATATAATTAGGTATTCTTTTCATTTCTAAATGAATTAATAAATTAATGATTACTTTCTGAGATACGCTCTTGCATATTATACATAATAAAAATTGTACTAGGAAGCCACATTACTTTATTGCAATAAAAATTGAAGTAACCTTTTTAAATGCTATGTTAGAAATATTATTCTGGAATTAAGTTTTTCTTAAAGTAACACTTACAAAAATGTGTGATAACAGGATCTTTGAAGTGTTAAAATTGAAATTCAGAGGCTAAGTTATTACTTACCATGTGCATATATTTAATCTTCATGAGATGTTAGTACATCTGCATTTCATTTAAATGAACAGGGTGGTGGCTTGTTGTCCCAGCTACTCTAGAGGCTGAGGTGGTAGGATAGCTAGAGACCAGGAGTTTAAGGCTGCAGTGTGCTATTATCGTGCCTGTGAATGGTCACTGCACTATAGCATGGGCAACATAGCAAGACCCCATCTCTAAAAAATGGTAGTTTATTTATATGGTTTCAAGCCTAAAATACAAAATACATATTGAAGTATAGCTTATCATTATTTGCCTCTAAGTAAGGCGAGAAAAAGCCGTTAAAAATATCTTTTAATACAAGTTTGTTTCTAAGTCTAACATATGTCCACAATGAGAAGAGAATCAATCAGATGTGAGGCCTGCACGATTTTGTTTCATGCAATTGCTAGGGGAATGGAGGCACTTCAACTCAGAGGCTGGTGTGGGGACCAGCACACTGTCTAATGATTCCTCCTGTGTTTGCCTTGGTGGCACCCTTTGCCACATTCCCTGGGTCAGGTGATGCCAGCCCTGGGGGGCCTCTGAGCTGCTGCAGTCAGGTGGTGGGTGCATGTAGCCATCTTCTCGTCTTCCCTCTGCTGTTGCCCCAAACAGGGATTGGCCCCTAGGAGCTGCTCAGATCTGTCTTTGGATGAATGAATGAAGAGTCCTCTAGGTCAGTGTTATGCTTTGGCTGTGTCCCCATCCAAATCTCATCTTGAATTGCAGTTCCCATAATCCCTACGTGTCATGGGAGGGACCAGGTGGAGATAATTGAATCACGGGGTGGTATCCTGTTCTCGTGATAGTGAGTGAGTTCTCATGAGATCTGATGGTTTCACAGGGGGCTTCCCCCTTTGCTATTCTCATTCTTCTCCTTCCTGCCATCATGTGAAGAAGGATGTGTTTGCTTCCCCTTCTGATGTGATTGTCAGTTTCCTAAGGCCTCCCCAGCCATGCTGAACTGTGAGTCAATTAAACCTCTTTCCTTTATAAATTACTCAGTCTTAAGTATGTCTTTATTAGCAGCGTCAGAACAGACTAATACAGTCAACTTATTGATTATGTGGTTTATATAATCATACATATGTGATTATATACATTATATAGTCAGATTATATGATTTATATCATCATATAAATAAACTGCCTTTTTTTTTTAAAGAGATGAGGTCTCGCTGTGTTGCCCAGGCTGGAGTACCCTGGCCATTCACAGACACGATAATAGCACACTGCAGCTTGGAACTCCTGGCCTCAACAATTTCCCAAAGTGTTTCCAAAGAACAGGAACTGAAAAGGTTCTGTGAGTGAGAAGGTTTGGGAAATACTGAGTTATTCCAGCAGGGCTCTGAAGGACCATTGATAAACAAGCTCTAATAGGAATAAACCAGGGAAGGATGTAGTTAGCATCTTATTTATGTCTTAATATACCAGCCACAGAGAAATCATTTCCCACCCCTGTCTGTCTCCCTCCCTTCTTTCTACCCAGAGCATCTCTTGGAACTCACTTTTAGATGCTGAATGCTTGAATTCCCCAAGAAGCAACAGTTCCTAAATTGAAGTATGCATTAGAATAATACAGAGATTGTGTTAATGCAAGGATTTGAATCTTTGAAGCAGACATCCATAGGATCTATAGATCTTCCCTAATGTCAAACTTTACTAATGATTCAATAACAAAAACACTAGGCAGAGAGATGCATCCCATGTTGGCTGAGCTGTTCTCGAACTCCTGGCCTCAAGTGATCCACCACCTCAGCCTCCCAAGGTTCTGGGATTACAGGTGTGAGCCACTGAGTCCAGCTATTCTGTGCTTTTATATAGGGGCTCCCAGGCTTCTTTCCCCTAGTAAGTACTATTTGCATGTTTACAAGGAGATCTGGTCCTCGCCCAATCCAATCATGGGCAGAGTTCAGTGCTTTGTGACTGTAGGACTGAGATCCTCATATTCACTCTTGGCTGTCAGCAGAGGGCCTTTTTAGCTTCTTGGGGCAACCACGCGGCTCAGCTTGTGGTCCCCTCTTCTGTCTGCAACTCCAGCAACAATACATTGAATCTCTCACCTTCAAATCTTTTCTTCTCCCATCTCCGGGGAGAAGGACTCTTCACCTCTAAGGACTTGTGATTGCAGTGGGTCCAACTAGATAACCCAGCATGATCTCTGCCTACCTCCAGGCCCTTAGATCTTTAACTTCATCGCATATGCAAAGTCCCTTTTGCTGTGTAAGGCA